AGTGGTTCCCTGGTGGCCGGCTCTCTGAGCAGCTATCTGTGCCCGGACAGGAGCCTGGCCAAATACTGTGATCCAAGATTCAAAGCATCCCTGGATTTCAGCAAAACTCAAAAGGAGATAGGAAAGCTTAATCACAGCTGATTGGGTTAAATGACTCATCCAGAGGGGCTTTCCAGATGAAGCCTTGGGGACCAACTTAGCTTGGGTTCTCCCCAAATTATGACAAAGAATCCAGGCTGCAACAGTTGGGAAATGGGAGTTTACTCAAAAGTAGAAGCTGGGAGTGAGATGAGGAGTTGGAGAGGATGATCACAGGGTGGGCTGCATCCCCTCTGACCTGTCTACAGATGTCTAAGACAGGTATTCATGAATTAAAGAACAAGTGGTCATTGAAAAAGGAAGGGTGGAAGAGAGGAAGAAAGGAAGGGATGAGTGAAAGAAGGTAAGTAATTAAGTAAGTAAACTAGTTTACTCTTTGTTTGTACCCACTTCTACCATCAGGTAGTCTGTTTTAAAGTTATTCCCTATTCCGACCCAAAATGCTGATCCAATTACCTGAATACAGAAGAACCCTGCAGATCCCTAACCACAGAAGGCAATGCAGGGGACACGGCCCAAATGAACTTCCTCTCAAAATGCCCACAGATTAACCTTTCCCACATCCTCTCTGGTTGGAGAACAGAAGCCATTCCTATCAGGGAGGTGCTGGGGTCATTGGCAAAGGGCCTTCTGTTTCTCCTCACCAGGATCAAGGTTTTCCAGAGTTCAACCACCAGACGATACTGAGAGGATAGGTTCCCTCCTTGTCTCCTGGGTGGTGTCTCCGCTGCCTCCTGCTTGATTACTGAACCTGGTGCCTGGGCATATCCAGTTACAACTAGAGGGCTTGTTGCCACCTGGAAAGCCCTGGGCTTTTCTACATCCTCTCCAGCCCTTCCCCACTGAGAGTGACTACTCAGATCACTCAGAGATCTAAAATGGTTATTTCTGCAGCTCCCTTAACTACAAGGTATTTTTCTCATTCAACAACACCTTCTCCTCATCAAGATCACCTTATACACTACTGCTTGGCATCCCTCCTTCCTCTGAAGAGTCACGTTGAAATGGGAGGAGAGGGATAAAACCTGGAGCAGTAACAAGACAGGCCAGTGCTGTGCTGGAGTGCTGTCTCTACCATTCCAGAAGGCAGCAATGGCCTTGCGAAGGAAGTAGGTGGTGTGTCCAGTAACCTATATCCTGCTACTAGTTTCAGTGTTGATGGCTCTGAGTGTCATGTGGGTATAAATACCTTGGATGGAGAGGTTGACCTTGAAGCCTGGCTCTGAGTCTCCTTAGCCCTCAGGATGGGTCAGGGCAGGACAGAGTGGAGGACTTTAAACAGAGCTAAGAAAGGCAAGCATGGAACATTCACAGAGACTTTGGCGGAAAGCCATTCTGCAAGTTAGTTGCTGCACAGCTAGAGGCCCCACGCCTAGAACTACATGTAAATGTGTGATGTCGCTTGAGAGCACCACGAGAAACAAAGGAAAGCTGAGATGGAAAAGAATCAGGGTCATTTCACATTATTTGATACAGTTGTGCTTCATAAAGCTACTATGGACACTAGATGAATAAATGCTGCAGCACTGCTCCTAAGGAAAATCTAAGGTTAGGTTCCTGCAAACCTTCATTCATGTTTTTGTCAGTCAGTCAGTACAGGGCTGGATTTTATGAGTAGGTCTATTGAAAAAACACATCCACATTCAGCATATACTGCCAGTTGGTGGACATTGCACTCAGAGACATCAACTAGTGTAACTAGTGGCTGGATATAGGTTACTGGAGACACTCCTACTTCCTCCATGGCTGCCTTCTGCAACAGTAGTGACAGCATTTTAACACAGTGCTGGCCTATCGTGTTACTGCTCCAGGCTTTAGTCCCTCTCCCCCTCCCATTTTCTAAGTAGTGGATTAGATCTTATTTGGAAACCTTAGATAAGAGAATAAATTCAGAGCTGGAAGGAGCCTTAGGAATCTCTCCTGTGCTTGGAGAAGAACAAAGATAAAAGGAGAAAAGAACTTCCCAAGATCACCAAGAAAAGACGAGAGCAAACTGTAGTCTCCCAGCTCCCTTTTTGTGGCCATTTTTAACATTGCTGTTGCCAGGCTCATGAGGGTGCCATCACTGACTTTCAATAACATTAGAGTCCAGCACCCATTCACAGAAGGACCAAACCACTGTAATGATCCACACTTCTGTGGTACTTCCAAGACTCTTCTTACTACCCTTGGTCACATCTATCTAGCTACAAAAAGATTTAACTCAACAAAGAACCCCATTAATCTCTTCTAGATATACCCCTGTGCAAATATCGCTTCCTAGGCTCCTGGGCCAACAGAACGGTCTGTACACTTGCTCTGGCTCTCCTCTTTGTTCCTCCTCTCATTGCACACACAGAGCATTCCCTCCCCAGACTGTTCAGTACAGACGGTGCTGCAGGTTCAGTGAATGAGACATCCACTTCCTAGGAGATTTAGAGAAGGGAGTCTCCTTTAAGGGAGGAGTTTGGCCATTCTCCTTAAGACACTTCTATCCCAGCAGGCCTTCCCTAGTTCCCTGACCTTGCATCTGTCACCATAACTCCCCCAAGCAGTCCACATTTACTTATTTCTGACCTCAGATCACAGAGGTTCAGAGACAGAAGAATTATTGGACCCTTGTCCAATAATCAAAGGCACCAAGTAACCCTTAAGACTTTTAAATGAAAAATTTTATATTAAATGTACACTTTGGATGCTCGATAATCGACCTCCAGTCCATCCTGGGCACCAGTGAGTCTCATGCCTGTCAACACGCAGCCCTGCTGTAAGGAGCTCTTTCAAGCTATGGCTCCCAGCTCAATAGTCTTGTGTGTATCCTAGGAGAGTTCATTTCACTATGTGACTCTAAAAAGAACCCTAGGCTCTCTCACACCCTAAGGATCAAGATCAACATCTGCAATCCCATCTTCTTTTCAAAAGGAGCCAGGCTAGCCAGAGAGCTCTGAGATCTAACTGTCCACAGCTCACTGAGAGAACAACCACACTGTACTAGCTCTGGCTATTGTGACTATTGCTCACAACCCCTCCAAAGCCATTTCTACTCAGTCAGATACATGAAGACTTCACACAGAAATGTCCACTAGCCTCTGATGAGAGCCAGTCAGTAGTACCTTGGCTTGAATCTGCACTGCTTTTGGCCACCATTTTCCCTGCCATTTGGGTCTCCTGATGGGTTTGAAGAAGCCACATCCTGTGGCCAAATACAGAGAGTCTAGGGGGGAAACAGCTCTTTCCAGAGGAGGTGACTTCAGCTTTTAAACCAACACTTCCTGGCTGACTTCTTTCTTTCTCACAGTTCCCAAGTGTTGAACTGTACATTCTGTGTTCCTTACAATGTCAGCCCAGTAAGGGTGCAACAGTGTCTTCCTGAGTCTGAGCTTGCATTCCTCTTTTACAGGCATGATGAGATGGTTGAGACACAAGTCCTATCCCCATGCTAAATCTCTATTCATAGATGACTAGCACTGAAGAAAACAACTCCTTCAGAAACAGCTCCATTTTGGCCAGTTTGGACACCACTAGATTTGATTATGGGTAGAATTGTGACCCTCCCTCAATAATTCATAGGTTGAAGACTTAACTCCCAGAATGACAGAATATGACTGCTTTTGGAGTAGGGCCTTTAAAGAGGTAACTAAGGTAAAACTATGTTATATGATTGGTATTCTTCAAAAGAATAGGGATGCATGAAAAAAGATCATGCAGGATTTTAAGGGAAGCATCTGGAAACGGAGGTCTCTAGAGAAGTAAGCCTCATTAGGCTTCTTCTGAGTGGCTACTACATGCAAACCATCAGAACTTAGCATTGTGTTAGATATAAATATGAAAACCACAGCAGCACACAGTACAGTCAGGGAGGAATATATATCACAAATATATGTTATCTAGAAGAATGCAAATATTTTTATAGAAAACACCTATAACTTCAGTTATGAAAATATACATTTGTTCCGATTTGACTGATATATTAGGGAGCAATTGGAGAAAAATATGAGTTTTGTGTTTGCTTAGCTATAGGAAATAGTAGATGAACACAGAAAACTGCACCTGGCTGAACCTAGCCACAAAGAGAGCCATAACACTCACGTACCCCTGACAACTACAAAACTATCAAAAGGAATCTCAACTCACCCATGACTATCTACATTTGGTGTTAGAACTCTCCAACTGACTTCACATGACTGTCCTGGTAGCATTTCATGAGAACACATAGGTGATAACACCTTCTGAGACCTGTTTCCTCAACCAAACTTGCCCTTTTCCAGGCCAAGAACCATGCTTAATAATACTTATGAATTTCCATTTGTCACCTAAAGCCATGCTGGCACTTTCGGTAAGTTGCTACTTTTACTCTTATCTGCTATGGAGTGTTTCACTTCTGACCGATTTCCCCACTGAATTCTGCAGATTTATTGCATATTTTTGAACAGAGAAGTGATTTTTGAAGAAAGTGTCTATTGTTATGGAAGGAGTGACTTATTTAAATATTTCAATAAGGAGCTGTATTTTAGGCCTGGTTTGTAAGTGATGGATAAGTGATAGAGAACATATAGGTCTCACTAATGTGGCAAGAGCACCTCCTGCTGGCCACATGCACTAATTACAGGTAAAATTTAGAATAAAAGTGACATACTAAAAATTTAAGATACTGTGAATGAAGGCGTACACAACTAAATAAAATATATCACCTCACCTTTAGGATATTTTATGACTTCTAGCTTCCAAATGTGTTTACTGGAAGATCATTTTTTTTGAAACAGGGTTTCTCTGTGTAGCCCTGTCTGTCCTAGAACTCACTCTGTTGACCAGGCTGGCCTGCCTCTGTCTCGGCAGTGCTGGTTTTAAATGTATGCACCACCACCACCACCAAAAGAACAATTTTTAAGCACAAATGGCTACACAAAGAAAGCTATACTGACCCGTCATGGAGTTTTCTGAAGTGCACAGCTGTTCTCTCAGTTTCTCCACATCATCAGGGTGCACCTGCTCATAGAGTGTGCTCCCAAACCACTCTGACTGTGGCTGGTTCAGGACAGGAGTCACAGAATCAGACACGTAGATTACTCTCCCTGTCTCGGCCGCCACCACAAACAGAAATCCATCAGCGGCTTCAAGGATGAGATGCTTCAGTTCCTGGGGAGGAAAGGCCATGGTCAGCAAGTGTACTAAGGGATCTAGATAATTTATCTTCTTTTAATTAGCAACCTCAACTCTCCATATGTAGCTGTTCATGGTACAAGTGGTTGTGTTGCTGAATGTCGTTTCACCTGTTTAACTTATTTTTAGAAAAATGAACAAAACTTGCACCATCCATAAAATATGCTGTCTTTTCTTGGAGAGAGTGAACAGGGGTATTTCCAACATAGAAAGATGAGAGAGCAGGTAATGATAATCTGGAGTTGCTGAGTTGCCAGTTTCCTGAGGTACTTCCATCATGTACTGAAACTGCAGTCATGACACTGCAGAAGGGCTCAGCACCCTGTGCACTGCAGGAAAGGTCATAGACAGTAGGAAGGAAGGAGAGTGGAAAGAGACAAGAGAGAGTCTTCCTTAGTGTGGGGACATTGCACTCTTGTTCCTCTTGTTCTAGTATGTGACAGCTCAATTCTGGTATCTTATCCCCTTACTTTACATGCCTGTTGGGGCTCCAAAACTCTGAAAGCTGTCACCATCATCTCAGCCAAGACAGCACAGGAAGCAGCAGGGAACAACGAACTAGCTACATCACTTAACACTGAGAAGAGGCTGTGTACTGGCCTCTTCTTATCAGGCTTACCAGAGATATGATGCTCATTAAAGGCACATACGTGTTTTGGATTGATAGATGACCAGCAGGAAGCCCTGCTGTCACCCCAGGGGGTCACAATTGAGGCAACTTTTATACAGAGGTATCCATGCCTAAATTCCACTCAGTGGTAATCTGTACCCTTTCTCATCAAGCTAAATAAAATACCTGGACTCCTGGCTTGCAGGAGGTGTGAAGTTAACTCTTCTACAAATGCCAGAGTCTGTGCCTACCACTCCAACCTCCTCATACTCTGTCCAGGCCCCAAAGAACAAAATCATCCTCTGAGGTCAGCAGTAAGCAACCATTCCCCCATCCAAGACTCAAATGTTCAAATGCAATCCCTCATGGAATGGTTACCATACAACAGGCAGGGGTACCTGAGAGGAAACAAAGGATAGAATCCAGAGCCTCTGGTCAGTGATGTCCTGGTGCTCAAGCTCCTAGAAGACCTTGTTCTTTTGGGGACACAGCCTAGGAACTTTGTGGTTGTATGCAGGCACTGACTGGAAAGTAATTCAAACACATTCAGCCTGGGAAACCAGGGTGGATGCAGATAGCACAAGCATTCTTTCAACCAAAATGTTTGCTCTGTGGATTTCCCATGTGCACTTCTGCTTCCTGTGTCTCTCAGATGTGTCTGTGGCTCTAAGAACATCAGCATTTTCATTCTCAGTTTCAGGAAAAATCTTCCCAACAGGAAGATCCTGTAAAAAATGGGGTAAGATATATGGGGAAGGAGAGGATTCTATGTCACTGGAGGAGGCTGTGTGGCTTTGTCTATGCATGTGTTTTTACCCAGTTTACGAAGGTCTAACGGAACAGAGTTGCCTCCACTCATCTCTTCCCATCCTCTCTCCTGAGGTTCATCATCTGAGAGCACGTTGTTCATAACTGGCCTTTCCTCATTTCTCCAGTGAATCAGTGTGGGTTTGGGAGTAAAAAAGACCTCATCCATGCCCTTCCTCTTAGCTTTACAACTCTGGCATGGTGTCTAATGGCTTTGGCTTCTGATATTTCAGAAAGCTTGCTTTCAGTGAAAGTTTTGAGAGTTAAATGAGCTTCTGGTGTGCAGGACTAAGTAAGGGTTTGCCACAGAGTAGGGCTCTATAAATGTACATGTGACCAAGAGAGGAGCATGGATAGGGCACATGAGTGTGTAGTTACCTTCTCTCTGCAATCCTCCTGTAGTCGCCTAGAGTCGTTTTGTAAGGATGGAATAAATTCAGGGAAAACATTTATAGTACTAACCGTAGTGCTAGTAGCACTTAAATTCCAAGCAGGTCATGCCTCACCATTCATCTTCATTATAGAAACATCCCCATGCTAAGCGGTCTACACAGGCATGCCTTCCTCAACATTCACAGAGCTGGGGGCTTAGATTCTTCTCATTTATATAGAGATGGGAATGATGGTAGAAGGTCATACCTGGGCCACCAAGTCCCTTATCTAAGAGCAAACATGGCTGCTATCTTCTTCCTGAAACCCTCAGCATGAGGGATCAAGTGACCCCTGGGAGGATTTAAAAGGGATAAGAGTAGGTATGGCACTTGACAAAACACCTGTGAAGGACAGAGGACAATGGTGTTGGCTTATGTTCCCTGTTGTTCTACACCTGCTGTCACAACATGGACAGATGCTCTGCACTGCACAGCTAACGACCCCACATGCCTTCTCCACTCTCCCTCTGCACACACTGTGACTCTTAAAAGTCTCTATGCTGAGGTCTTCTGTGTTCAGTCTGTGATTCGCTCACAGCCTCTGTCCTGAGCACAGCCCCTGGTACAACCTAGTTCCTTCGTCTCAATTTCATTTTGGCCTCACATTCTGTCTTGTTAAACACTCCATTACTCAAGATTCTACACATGGGATACTTGGTACTTTCAAATTAACACCTCTGATAACTCTGTAATTTTACCTCTTTCCACTACCTCTTACCATCAGCACATTTATCTTAGGAAAGCCTTGTAAACCAGAAAGCCAAAGCTTTATTTAGACAAGTCAACTAAAGCCTTAAGTACCAGCTGATGCTCACTGTGATCACCTAGTGAAAGACAAGGATTCAGAAGACAAGTCTCTGGGCTCATGTCAACCCATTTACCAATGATGTCTTGCTATCTCATGCTTTTCTTCTCCCCAGTTAGCATGGGTGTAAAAACACGGCTTTAGGGAAGCCCAGTACACCAGTCTCCGGTTCTCTCTCTAAGCAACTGACCCTGGGAAATTCTCTAAGCTTTGATTTCTCCATCTGTCAGTGATGAAGAGCAGTGACTTGTCACCTAATGTAAATGAACAGCACAGAAAGATGTGACTTGGACCAGGACCATGAGTCCCTAACAGTGCTGGTTGTGATGACCTGTCTGTAGACAACACTGCCACTGCTGTTGTGACTCTGATGGCATGGCTATCTTGCTACCCTTTTACATAAGGATTATGGTATCCCTGCCATCTTCCTCCAGCAGGATGGTCACCACATTGTGTTCTAAACTACTCCTCTTCCGGGAGGTTTACGGAAGCTAAAAGAGCAGAAAATAGACAAACCTGCCACTCTTGAAGAGTACTTGTGCTAAAGAATGGAAGTCAAATTCACCCCTTCCCCAACTCCATGTTCCTACATAATTTATCTCAGGCTTGTGACCTTCAGGATCTCTCCAATTTTCACTGGCCACAGCCTCAGAAGAGTAAGACTGGGGTACCTGTTCAGTGAGGAAGGAAGGCTTGTATGCGCCATCAGTGGATTTGTTGCCGGTGCCCCTCATGGACTTCATGTGTGAGACTGCCATGCGCAGGATGGTGAGCTTGTCTGGCTTCCTGGCCAGTGCACTGCAGGTGGGAACCATGTCGGAGAGTTCCGTAATATACTGAGTCATCTTGTTCCGCCTGCGCCGCTCAATCTCACTGTGGTTCTCTCTTCCCAGAAAGCAAGAGGTCAGGGGGAGGGAAAAAGAGAAGGATCAGACCAGGGGTCGGTCAGCAGACATTGGGATAAAATAACACGCTGTTAACATCAGATAGCCAAATTCCTGGGCCTAACTCATAATAGCTCAGTGCTTTGGGTAATTGTAGATTGAGGCCCTGACACATCTGTAAGCTCATGTTTATGTGTGGGGAGCATGGACCTCTGTGGCCTCCTTCTCTAAATATGTACTGCCCTTCCTAAATTACACACATACCTATGGACTTTTCTGGGATGTGAAAAATTAAAACCAGGGAGCATGGAAGATTAAAACTTTCTAGCAGGCTTTCCGTGTACAAGCATGATCTTAAACATGAATGTGTGGACACACATTTACAAATGTAGCCCCTGACTGCTTATCCATGTGGTTTATTTCCCTTATGAAATGACGCACTCACTATAAGACAGCCTTCAACTTATGCTCCTTCAATTCTTTGATGATGATAATCCATTCAGTGAATTATCACCGTACCTCAAAATACATAAAGCACCCAGGAATGATGAATACCCACACAGCCATGCTACTTTTACCTTCAATACAGCACTCAAGATATCTTACGAATCCTCAACACATCACTATAAAGTAGGGATATGTTGGATGCTTAGCTAGCCACAAACTGATGTGAGTGTTCTAATCTGGCTAAAGGCCACCCAAGCCAGGCTGAGATGCTTGCCCAGGGCTGTATCAAATGCCTTTGTCTTTAGCAATACTCTCAGCTGACAATGCGCTGGCAGTATCTAACACATCGAGAGCCTTACTACTCTCTGTGTCACGAAGGAGACCATTGATGACGCAGATTCACTTTATATAAAGTTGTGAACCTGCCTTTCTTCTACACCCAGTGTATTTCCTGCAGCATAGTAACAGAACAGGTGTGATCCTGGCTTATTAACAAATAACCAATTAAAAAAAATACTTCAAGGAATTACCCAATTCCATCCCTGAGATCCTTAAAATGGAAAACCAACAGAGGGACTGGGAGAATATTTTTGCCTCAAATTATTTACTACCTTTAGGCTCAAAAGATAGTAACAGCCAACCTCATCCAACATACTTGCTGTTCCCTGGGAGGAAACAGTGTCTAAAAACACACCCCATGTTGCTGCTGCTGCTGCTGCAGGATGGAGGGCTTTCTGGTTTCTTTGAGAAGGAAAGTGACACTAACAATAAGAAAAGAAGATCCCCAGGCAAGGCTGCACTGCACACTGCATGCATTCATCAGCCTTACACTCCAGGAAGTGGGACAATATGACAATCAGGCCCAAAGGTGTGACAGTATGCACGCTGTGTGTGCTGAGAGACCCTCTGTAGAAACAGCAGTCCCTGTGGTGAACTGGTGTGAGCCTTCTGGAGCATAGTTTCCATTCAAGGAGTCCTGAGCAAGCCCCACAATGGGTAGAGAATGGCAGAGAAAACAAGGAAGCCTGACATAGTCTTCAAGCAGCAGGGGCATTAAGTAGGGATGTAAGCATCCACTGTGCACAGCAGTGGGATCCAATGACATGCTCAGAAAGGCCTTAGAAGGTAAAAAGCAGGTGAGGAAAAGACAGAGAAGAGGAGGGACTAGAAAGGGTTAAGCACAGTGGGCAGAGTTAGACCTGTGTGGCAGCAGAAAAGGGAGGTGTGCTCTGGGAAGAGGGTCAAAGGAAGTCTAAGATTGGGAAGAAGCATTGAGCGAGGAAGAGACATCCCTGTAGGAAGGGCAGACCTGGTGCAAGAGGAAACTGAGGAACCTGCAAAGCTGGGGAGCAGGCCAGACCGCAGTGAGAAATCTAGTGGGACAAAGGGCCCTGATGTTGTGGCTGACATCACCATCTGTTAGAGAGGTTCAGAGGTAGATGAGCCATGTAGGAGAGGGGAGGAAGATAGGCTAAGACCAGCAAGCTGATTCCTGAGGCCATCTCCACCCACAGGTGATTAACTGGAAAGATGCCAGTGAAGCAGAAATGTTCTTATACACAGGAAAGACTCCCCAGGGTGAGGGAAGTCTATCTCCTCCAGGCAGACGTGGATGGAGCTTCCTGAGTATGGGGAGAAAGGGTCAACCAGACAGGAAGAGGATGCTGTGGGGCATCTACAAGCTAGGGAAAGTAATGCAAGCGGGAATTTGGACAGATGACTGCTAGCTCTTGAGCACAGGCAGGAAAGAGTCTTGCCATGGAGATACCAGAGTCCCTTTCCTCACCCTCCACAACCACAAAGTTGGTCATACGGTGCAGACCACGTTCTTCAGCTGGACATTTGTCCAGGAGGCCCAAAGCAGGGAGAGTTCCCAGAGGTGTGTAACTCCACCACCAGCTCACACTTCCTGGGGCCACTCAGAGAAGGTGATTCTCTGAGTGCATGGGCTGACGGTGTAAGGAGAAGTCAGACAAGAAGCTCAGGCATTTCTGAGCAGGAGATGATTCAGGCAGGACCCAGAGCTCTCTCCACACCTCCCTGCACGTTCCTGTGGGATCATGTGAAACAGTCACCCGAAGGAGAACCTGCCCGTCCCATCTGGAGTCTCACTCTGACCTTGGGATGTCCCAGCAGCCCCACATACTTCTCCCTGGGTCCCCTTCCTCCCTCTTCCCAGCCCAGATTTTGCCACTCAGCACTCCCCTGAATCATAAGAACACAATGTCTGCTCTGGCTTATCTCTAGCCCAGCACATGCTGAACAGCTCCTTTACCACAAACTTCTGACTGCCAAACTCTTGGAAAAAAACCTCTTGACTTTTCTCCCTTCTTCATGCCCATGGCCACCTGCACCATGTGGCTAAGCCTCCTCTCATCTTCCTTTTCCTCCATCTCAGACCTTCTATTGTTGACAGACTGGCAGTTCTCTAAATGCAAGTGTGATCCACTGAAGTCCTTCAGTAGTGACCCCAAATCTACAGAGGCAAGTTTAAAGCATTCAGATAGTGTCTGTGGTAACCAACAATGCCATATTGCTATGGACTAAGTTTCCTAACATTGGGAGGGGTCTTTGTGAGGTTCTCTGATGGAGCCATAGATAAATTCAATGTGTGGACTGAGGTAAAGGAAGAAAACAATTACAGCAATATCTAAAAGCTGGAAATCACACTTGCTGACCAGTGCAGGAAGTGATACAATAATCTTAAGATTTTTTATGAAATAAGCCTGAGCTACTAGCAGCATGTTCAAAGAGCTGAGAACTGTGAGTTGCCTGGCAACAAGATCGGAGACGCAAATGGTATGCACTGATGTGTATGATTTCATTTCGAAGCCCTCAAGGATACAGAAGTAAGGGAACGCCATCTTGTGAAAAGAGAAAGGCACATCCTTAAGACCTATTGACTAGGCCAAGTTCATCTTCTTCCCCAGGGGAGGGGACAATCAGCTCTATCTGTTAGGCTGTGAATATGGTGTCTATGGGCACCCATAATTGCTGGGAGCCAGGCAGCATCCGTAAGGAAATCTCCCTCTGCATATGTGAGAGCAAGGTCAGGACTTTGCAGCAAGGACATCTGGGATGCAGGAGGAAATGACAACTCTGCTGGATTAAGAAGAACTAGACCTTTTCCCCGGGGGTTGGGGGGAGGGACAACTGGGGAAATCAAGGGCAAAGAAGGAGGTGCAGCTAGCCGTGTGAGTTTATAGAGCAGTGGGGGTGTCATCCATCTTGATTTACACTTATGAGATGATGACACTTCAAAAACTTTTCTCATGACCTCCAGGAGGTGCTGGGACAATCATGGTGCCATTCCGCTGTGACCTAAAGGCTAAGGTAATACAGGAGGGTATGAAAATAGGTGATGATGAGGGCTCCCTAAACAGAAGTCTCAGTGTATACATGCAAGAGCCCCAGAACCTAAGACACTGAAGGCAGGACTGAGCGAGAGGAGCCATGAAGTCATGCACTAAGCCTGAGTGCCTCTTATTGCTTCACTTGACACATGGGCAAGGGGTCTGATCTAGATCTCATCCTGCGAGAATAAGGTATATGGAGAGTCTGATGTGTAACTCTGACGTTTGAAGATAGCTTGGGACTGCACACATTCTGAAACAATACTTGAAATACCACTTTCCACTGGTGGTAACTGATGTCATCTGTAATACAGGAACATACTAGGACATTAAAGTGGGAAGTCACCTTGGGCTGCCCAGCATTATGAGATGCTTGGGCCTCACTTTGAGCGCAGGCATAGATTGGATGTACTGTCAGGATGTTGACCCTTTGGAGGATGGATGCCATTAGGTTGTGGTGTCCATTAGGGAGTTTGTGTTTTGTTCTGTTGTGTGGTCAGAGTCTTCTAGAGACATAGAGGCTCCTCCCTGTGTGTTGTTAGTGCCAGTGAGTTAATAATGAAATTCAAGAGGGAACAGAAGTCAAGCCCAGTGCCAGCAAGTGAAGTCTTCTTCCTTAGGCCATGCAGGGAAAGGAAGCCAGGCTTTGTATTTCCATTCCTGAACCTCTTGAGCAAAGAGACCCCTTCTTTTGAAGCTCATGTCACCCACTGCTGCTACCCCGAGGGTTCTTTGTCACTATCCCACATTGACACCCAGCTCCCTAACAGTCTCCACACGAGATCAGGCAGCACAATACAGCTTCCTATCTACCCCGTGTTCCACTTGAGGTCTGCTTCAGTGGGGCCATAATGCAAGAAGCATGAGTCAGCTGCTATGACTTGGACCGTAGTTCCCAAATCCAAGGTCAAGGTATGAAGTATTACGTGAAGCAGAACATATGGATCCAGGACTATCCTTGAGAAAAGCTGGGAATGATCACTAGATTCAGATCAGGGGACAGAGATCATGGTGCTGCATCTGCTCAGATTCAAATCAACCAATAAGGACGGGACTGGCTTGCATCACAGTCTTCACATTCTCCAGGGCCTTGCCGGATGGAACTATTGTGGACTGACAGTAGGCATGGGAGCAGGAAATGGGAGAGACTTTAGAGTGTACCTTACCAAGGCTGGCAGGAGACCCTGAATGGTTAAGTGGAAGGTAGGGAGTGTACTTGGTTGTCTCCCCAGCTCTGAACAACTCAGATGTGTCACGGGTTCCTCAGCCATGGATTATTTCAAATACCCTATTATAATGAAGTCAGTGCCTCTGGGGTCCCATGAACTCAGCTCTGTAAGTAACAGCACATGTTGAAGGCACATTCCATCTCTCTCTTATTTTTAAGGCACAGAGGAAAGGATGTGGTTGATAGAAGCAAAGGTTTGAACTTGACTGTATAACATGCGGCTCACTAGCAGGCTCAGAGTGTTACACAGGGTTGGGGTCACTGCCTCCTCACAGTGCAATTGCCTCCCAAGGCAATGAACTCTGTGTATCTTGACTATTGTTTTATCACTGACATTGACCTGCAATGTCAAGCAAATGTCACTCCATGCTTTGCTTTATGCTCCAAGACCCAGCATCACCATTTCCTGAGGTTAACATGCTATGGTACGTATCTCATAGAGAACTTTGGCACAGAGGATTCAATGTCATTCTTCTTTCAATAGAGAGGCTGTGTGGAAAAGCTCTGGTGGAGAGAAGAGAAAGGCGGGGAGGGGGGAGACCCATTTCTGAGACTGGCTCCTTTTCAGGAACAGAGCATTCCTTGCTACTAGAAACCTAGACATCCAAGATGGGTCATATCTGCATAGGAAGAGATAGTTGTTGATAATCAATGATAATCAATTGTCGAAGCTCACATCTTGTTTTGATAGGAAATTCCGAGGTCATTAATGTGTTAAAATGTGTTCTTACCTCATCTCTCATGCTTCAGATGAGGATGAGGCTGGGAAATGGATGAGCCTGGTCTCAGGGGGAAAAGTTTATGGGATGAGGAAACATTTACTATGGACTTGAAGGCTAGGAATCCTTGGGCATGAACAAGACATTTATTCATCCTGCATTTGTAGAGAACACTGCTTAATTCACAGCTATCATTTTGGCTATGATCACAAAGAACCAAAAAGACCTGCATGCAGAAACGTAGACAGACAGCCTAATGTGCAGTGTGGACATCATACTTCTTAAAATTGTTTCAAACATCCAGAACTGTCAGTCTAAATGGAGTACGAATACAGTAGGCAAGCAGCTATCACCCAAAGCAAGTTTCTAAGATCAAGGATAACCAAGAAGGAGTTCTCAGGGACCGGGGCATCAAGGCAAGCCCTGCTGTAAAAAGACGGTACAGATGAAAAGTATGCTAAGAATGGAGGAATGATGCTTTCTTTCAGCACACATCCACATGTCCCATAATCCCTCAAACAGAAAAAAAAAAAAAACTAGAAGAATCAGAAGCCATGGTTCTATGTTAGACCACCAGCACTGGTGACCCAAGAGCCTTCTTTAAGGTTTGGTGCACCCAGGCCAGTGCCCCAGAGCCAGCCAAAGATGCTGTTACAAGTTAGTGGCTTGATTGTCAGGATCTGGAAACTAACCCCAAACAGGCTCCATATTCAGTGCATTTCTTCTTATTTTCCATAGTAGAAAAAAAAAGATTCATGTTGATAATTTTCTCTATACTTGAACCCTAGGGTTTTGCTTTTGTTTTTTAAGGGAGTCCATTAAAGTTAGCAGTCACTGTTTAACTTAAAAGCAAACAGGATTAAGAATTAATTACTTACCCCCCCCCATTTGCTATGGGTGTTTGAGACAGAATCTTGCTCTATAGTTCAGGCTTGTTTTGAACTTGTCATCTTTCTGCCTCATACTTCCAAGTGCTGAGATTCAAGTATGTACCACAAAGTCAGGCTTGGGACACATCATGATTACTAAAAGCTGTCTGCTACTAAGTCAAATGCTCTCATTAAACAAGACATACACAAGAGGGTCAGAGATCAGGCAATGGCTTACTCAATGGCAAGAAGCACTAAGTATCTGTGCATACCAGTCAGGTGACTGCTGAAAGGTAAAATAAACTCACCTTGAAAATTTACTGGGACCTTCACCATCTTCATCATCGAAGTCCATTCTGAAAAGTCAAAGCCACATGTAAGCACTAGTTACAACTAGTAACAGAAGACTCTAATTGGTTACATGAAATGGGAATACTCAAAGTGTCAACTTGTCCCCCTATAATGCTTCTCAGGTCACCAATGGATGACTCAGGCCATATTGCATGAAGGCATCAATATTTCTTGTCTCCCATCATCTCTGAGGTATGTGGGTCCATTCACATCATGTATTCTATATCAACACTTAATTTCTAAATTTTATGGTATATTGCTCAAGAGATTTGGAAGACAGGGCAATGACAGGGCAAAGGCAATGACGTAATATCAGGGTATAGTGGAGCTGTCTGGGAATACTGCTTGTAATTTGGTGAGTCTCCACGAACCTCAGGGCAAAGGTCATTTAAGGACATCATTCTGTTACACTCAGGATCAAACAGGGTGTCGAGGAGGAAATGGATATTTGATACCAAAATCACTCAAGGTGGTTGTCTGCTTGTTGAAGCTGCTGGGCCTCCCCTTGTTAACATCAATGGATTGGTGAATTCTTACTTAACTAACACCAGAAACGGTCTTTCTTAAAAACCCAAGTGATTCTAATGTCAGCACACACAGGCTGGAAGATGTTAGGACAGAGGGGAACTTAACCATAATCAAGTGTACTGCAGAAGAAAATGAGACGCCGACAGTAAGTGTGGCTCTTGAGTGGGGCATCTGCAGACCCTAAATTACTCTGCTTGTTTTTAGTAGGCCTGAAGGATTTGGTGAGATATAGGCTCATGTTCCAAGCAGGGGAGAGGCTGGTTGCCTGGCTGGAGGTCTGAGGAATTCCATGTTTTAGCTGCTTATTATGAGAATGGAGAGTACACAGTGAGATTCTGCTCAGACAATAAACAAGCAAAGACTGGAGTGTGTGCCAGAAGACCACAGCTCCAGAGGCCAGATCTTCCGTCTCTCATAGGGAGGGTGAACTTCATTCCCTAGTCTGTAAGGGCCTGAATAAGTGACCCAGGAAATGCACAGGGCACCCAGGCCACTAGGAGGCAGTCATGTTATACATAAAGAGCAACCTTGTACACATACTGCAAGATGGGCTTTAGTGAGATGCATGGTGACCACTAGGCTTTTCGGTAACTTGAGGGACCTAGGAAGTAGGATCAGATATGGCAAAATGAAGGGAGTGAGGGCAGCTTTTACACGTCTTTGCTCTGGATTGTATGCAGTGCAGCCTGAGTTGACATGTCCAGAATTCCCTGATGGGATCCTTGACCCACTTGGATCCTTGGTCCTCAAAAGCCAACTGTCCCCACACTAAAAATGGCAGTTGTGATGAAAGAAATAATACCTCTGTGCAAAGAGAAAAGGAGATGGACAGGAAGAAGAGAAAAGACAGAAGACTATATGCATGTCACCAGGGAGATGAATGTGTACCACTCTCCACAGCATGGCTTCGAAAGTCTATCACTGGGCCAGAGCTATCTACAGGACAAATGGAGCCGAATGTGGTGATTCTAAATAAAGAAAACTCATTAACATCCTGTATAATTGCTAAGCTATCATCTCACCTTCCTGGAAATTGCATGTGGGAAATAACCACCAAAAATGTTTATCTGAGGCCAGTTGCACTTTGCAGAGCCACACTGCCACCTAGTGCTTATAGAGGGAAAGATCACCTTCTCGGCCTTCATTAAAAAAAAAACAAAACACAACCATGATTTCAAAATTCCAAATGATTTGTGCATGGATTCATCAAAACCATAAATGAGTGTAATATTCGCAGTTATCTTTAGTATTCTGTTCAGTTCAATTTGATACCAAAGTTTCTATAACATTGAGAGAGGGAGAGAGAGAGAAAGAGAAAAAAGGGTGAGAGAGAGAAAGAGAGGGTGAGAGAAAGAGAGAGAGAGAGAGAGAGAGAGAGAGAGAGAGAGAGAGAGAGAGAGAGAGAGGGCACAAGCTCTTGCACGCTTGCACTTGCCTGTGGAGGGAGAGGACATTGTGAGATTAGGCTCTTCCCTTCTACTTGTGGATAGGATTATGTAACTTAGGTCATCAGGCATGGCAGCAAGTGCCTTTACCACTGAGCCATCTCAAGGGCCTTTGATAGGATTCTGATAATCAAACTCCTACAAAACACAATTGGCTAGTTGGCTCTCACTCCAGGCCTGAGGATCAGTGAGATGTCTGGAGTGACTAAGGACAGGTATTCTTGGACTCCAGGACTGCAGTGTTGAAACAGTCTCAAGCAAATCAGGACGGTTGATCCCCTCACACAGCCCTTACCCAATACTCTATGGAACAGGCAGATGAGGAACTGAGTGGGGTGATAAAAGTTTCCAGCTCGGCCAGGTGAGCTTCGTATCAGGCCAGTAGCAGGTAAAAGAAAAGGATGGTCTAGATTCTGAGCTTACTGGAGTCCACTAGAACCTTGGAGTGGTGATTTGAATATGAAAAGTTAAAGACCAAAAAACTATGGCTCCTACCTGTGAACATGTGCAATCATACACATGTAACATAGAGAGAAACTATTCCCAACACCTATAAATGTGTATGCGATCATGCACATGTAGAATGGAAAGAAACAGTACCTTCTCACCCATGAGTATGTATGCAATCACAAACATACATCACAGAGAGAAACTACACCTGCCACTTGTGTGTGCATGGACTCACACTTAAACAGCAACTTTGTTTAGTAATTTGGAAAGGCAAATAAAGTGGGTCCAGCTTAGGAGATAAATCAGAAGCTCCACATGCATGTTTAGATCCACCCAAACAGTTTCACTAGCCCCTCAGCAATACCACACATACACATACACACACACACACACACACACACACACACACAGACACACACACACCCCGCTGACCCTGACAAAACAACAAACCTCCAAACAACTCTTGCCCCCATGCTGCGTTTGGGTCCCTACCACGATGTCCAATTTTAAATATGACTATAGTAAGCTGAGCTTATTTCTTCTGCTATGAGAAGTATAGCAAATCATCCTTTGTTTCACATATTTTATATTTTTCTATTATTTTGAAACATCTGGATAATAAAATAAATCAAAATGTGACTTTAAGCCTTGTTGTAGTCACTCTAAAAAACAAAAACAAAACAATCCTCAGCACAATGAACGAGTGAGTTTCCAGACAGTGAGCTGAAAAGACAATTGACCCTACTTCCTGTCAGGGAGCCTGAACAAGAAGCTCAGATAGGCGTTTCTGAGCAGAACTAAAGTGAGAAAGAAATGAGGAGAGTCTCCCTAGTGCTGTTTAAGAATAACAGTGCAGCATCAAATACAAGTTTGCACAAAGCATTCGCTTTTCAAGCAAAGAGAAAGGTCATTGAGGTACAGTTGTCCAACAGTGAGCAATCCTGGTCCTGGCCACGGGTCTCCAGAACAGAGCAGTGGCAACATGTCTTTCTCTCCCCCGCCTTTCTCGTGCTCTTTAATTTTTAAGCAGGGTCACACTATGTAGCCCAGGCTAGTCTTGAACTCCAGAGTCTCCTGATTCTATCTACCAAGTGCGGGGATTTTCCCTCAGTGACAGTATTTTATAAGCTCAGCCCTGGATACAAGGCAGGAACTGAAACACTCCTGACCATCACTGTCTGCAGCCTCCACCCTCCATCCGATGGCTAGCTTCAGCTTCTCCCTTAACTCATCACTGCCACTTCCACAGGGAGGTTAAAAGCACTGCTTTTGCCAGGTGGGAGTCTCCCTCCCTGGCTGAGCTTAGGGAGGTCAGGACAAGAATGTATGTCAGGTGACTTGCTTCAGCTCATTTCTCCCACACATGTGGAGCTACTTTTCAAAGAATCTAAAACTTCTGAACCTTCACCTTGTGTCCCAGCTGCCAGGAGGAGAGCAGGACCCTGCTGAGATGCTCATTGTGAAGTCTTGACAGTGAAGTGGGAAGAAAGCCCGGCCAGGAAGACTCAGCACTAGGTCAGGCACACAGGCAGGAGGATCCAAAGTCCTCAAGAGGCTGCGAAGCACTAGAGAGGAATGGTGACTGTCTGAGCACTTGGAATACTCCGATATCAGGTGAGAGGGGGAGACCTGGAAAGGAGTGGGCCAGGACACACCAGTGCTGGTTTTTTCCCTCACATCTTCTTCCACATCCCTCTCTTTGAGTCTCTTCAAGCATGTCTCACAATCTTAACAGAAGGAACAGTTGGAGACACCATGCTGGTGACAGTGATGGCAAACAACAGTCAACGCCAGCCACAGCACAAGGCCCTGATGGAGCTATCAGCCTTTTGATGCCAATACAAGAATTTTATGAAAAGATGTAAAACGGGTCTGCAAAAGAGGAGGCTTCCTTCTTAGACCCTGGATCAGTCTTTAAGTCATGGGGTCTGATTCCCACCATCTGACAGGAGGAAAGGACAGGCAGCATACAGACTCCAAGAAAGATGGCAAAGGCTTCTTGCTGAAGGTGTATCACAGCAATAAAAAAGGAACTAAAACTACAGGACAGGACAGGACAAGACATCTGTGGGGAATTTTTCAGATATGGAACTAAGTCTTAGATCAAATTATCTTAAGTGTAATGCACAGGAACTATACTCCAGGATTGGGTCAAGACCCTGCAGGCCAAGATGGAGAATTGCTGGGGTGTCTACCAGCCCAAACTATGAGGAAGCAGAGGCTCACAGATGAACTCACCCCAGCACAGAGAGGGCTCATGAGTTTTTAGCACGGAGTGGGGCAAAGCATTTTTGTCTAGACTTGAACCAACCTAGAGTACTCATTGCAGAGTCTAGTCTGGGGTTTTCTAGAAACAGACAAGGATGAACAATGGAGGTTCTCTCCAAAGAATGTGAGTTAAGGGAGTAACATTTGAAATAATTTGGATTTTTTTAATTGAAAAAAATAGATGTTTTAACAGTATATACATTCTCTTAGCAATCGGGACTGAAGAATTTGTCCACAGTGAGCAAGAACGATGGCTCAGATAGCACGCAGCTGTGCAGGTGTGTCCAGAGGCAAATTGCAACCTTTATCAGGCAGTTATTTGTGGCACCCACTGAGGAGACCCAGCTGCAGCAGAGCACTGACTTCCTCAGAGAGTGTACAGGACCAAGGAGAGGCTGGCCTCGCCACCAACCTCAGATTCTCAGCCCTCCGAATTTTCACAGTAATCACACACCCTCCAGGCTCCTTTCCAAAGACACCAGTAGGCACAGCAGTCCTTACCATAGGATGGCATTATAATACTGTGTTCTTGCATCCTGTCCCCACTATATCCCAGACCCTGGTGTGCACCTGTCTCCTTGCCTTTGTGCCTTTTTAAGAATCAGAAGGTTTAGAAGAGACTCTTGGGATTAAAATGCTGGACATTTCAACATGGGTCCAGCCTGCAGTCTTGGGGCTATGGAAGGTGTGTTCTGTTCTCACTGGATAGGTGCTATATGGGCAGAGTGTGTGGTCAGAAACTGAGCAACCTCATGAGATAGCTTGTTTATTAACTACTTCACTGAAAATGAAAAAAGGATCAATGGGAAGCAGGGTTGAGTAATATACTGAGCTGGAAAATACCAGTTATGCTTTCCTGAAGGACTTTGGTTGGTTTGATGTGGGGTTCTGAGTATCGATGCTGATATCATTCAGCACAAGAAGGTGACACTTTGGGTTTCATCTGCTCAAAACTGGTCTGTGACCTATCAATCCAGTATAGTCAACAATACTTATTCACTTTATTGTCTCAGCAACACTGAACACATCTGGCTGGCCTTCAGGTGCTGAGTCCTGTTAAAAAGAATTCCTGCATATGCCTAAGAAAGATGAGCATTGGAGGAAAGGTTGGAGGGCCCCAGTTAGATCATTTACAGTCCCTGGGGCTGGATCTACCAAATGAAGCTGGAATGTTCAGGCAGTTGAGTGGACTCCTCCCTTCAGAGAGCTAGCACAAGCAAGGCCCAGCAGGATCCCATGGCAGGCAGTATAACTACAAGGGCAAGCAAACAGAAATCCCCAGCTGGGTGCCAGGACCCAGAGCACTTAGAAGCAAATCATGTGCATATTTAGGAATCTTGCAAAATCTAAACAGGATGCAAACTGCTGTGCTTTTACTCTCCTGGAGGGGGAAAAACAATACTTTTCTAACAGGTCAAGAGCATTGCTCAACTTTTACTAAGTCCAGTTCCTGGAAATGCTGAGTCTGCTTACCCGGATCGCCGCTTTCCTCCTCGGGCAGGCATGGCCCCTGCCATTCTCACCTGTCCGGTGGCCGCCATGGGGGCAACAGGCAAGGTCACAGATCCAGGTATGTCTGAAGCCATTTCTGGAAGTCAACAGAGACAAGAAATTTTGTTAATGACAGAAAAAAAAAACCCAACTCAGTAATGAGTGAGAAAATTATCACACTACCCTGAAGAAAGCCCAAGGACCTGGTCCTGTGGACACTTTGCTTACTTTGAGTCATTTAACTGGGCCAGCCCTGGGCTGTCTGTACTTTCCAGTCTTCAACCTCTGAGCAGTGGTTAGAAGCATGAGCTCAGCTTTGCAGCAGTTAAGGGACTCAGGTCTCCCTGTCACCTGGCGGCAGGTGAGCTATCTAGGTAGAGGGAAGAGCCTGAGAGATAGCTACAACTGGCACCAACCATAGTACCCGGGATGAAGCTAAGTCTCAAAAGTTATTGGCCTGCAGCAGTACCCACTGACCTTCCCCACTGCTCCCATACATAGCCTAGGTCCCCACCCTCAGTATGGCCCCAGAAGCCCTCACTGCAAGACCCTGTGAATTCTGGGGCATTGAGTACCGCATTAGGCTTCATAAGGTTGACTCAGGCTGAGGGACCCAGTTATCCCTAGGGAAGGTTTTCCAGGAACAAATACTAATTTAAAGAAAGAAAACGTTGGGCAACAGATGGAAGTAATTTTTTTCGATTCTATGTTGTTTCTAATAAGCCAGACATTTCTGGAATCTCTTTTAACTTCCTTGATTTTCAAATCAATCACCCTGTCAAAAAGTTTCTTCTTTGCCATTTCTGGGTTGTCAGCGCCCTGTACTGATCCATTCCCTATCAAGATGAACCCAGTTGGTGGTGCAGGAGGTACACCAGCAATCCCAGAAATCAGAGACCACGCTGAGTGAAGCACAGATATAAGAGTTGCACCAGAAAGCACAGGAAGCCGGTGACCAGGAAGATGACCGGGAAGAAGAGGCTTACCTTTGTGAGGATGGAGGGCTTGAGCCCACTGCCCTGTCTGCCCCCTCAGTGGGAAAAATGAGTAGATGCTATCTACCCGCTCTCACCCTAACTCTGTAAAGGCAATAGATTCTGCCCTTGCCAGTCAGACCAGAAGACTTTTGTGAGCTGTGCCTGGCCTTTGCCTCTCTGTCTTAGCCTTTATGGACCCGGTTCTTAGCCTTTGAGCACAGTACACTATTCAGCACTGTCCCCAGAGCACAGCTCCTCTCTTTTTACTTCACATACAAAGCATTTCACCCACCTAGACTAGAGGAGGAGAGGCCTTTTCTGCTACACCCTGAAGCTCAATAGCTGTGGCTGCAGTTTTTAAAATGACTCAGATTTTCAAGCATGATTTAGCATTTGCTCCTCCACAGGAAAAGGGAGCCCGTCTGGTTTGTAAGGTTTCTTTATGTTTATAATGTCCTTTCTCCCTGTGAGCACAGCTTAACTAAGGAGTTACTCGCAGTGTGAGAAACATTTACATACATACTCAGGACTGTCTCTAAGCATGTTTCATGTTTGGTCCTCCTTTCCTTTGAGTTTCTCTGCTGTATCCAAAGGAAGAAGGTTTTGGTGTTTGCATTACAAAGAAAAGGACAAGGAGGAGGAGGAGGAGGGGGAGGGGGAGGGGGGAGGGGGAGGGGGAGGTAGAGGAGAAGAAGGTGAGGGTGAAGGTGGAGGGGAAGAAGAGGAAAAAAGAAACAGAAGAAGTGAAAAGAAAAAGAAAGAAATAAAAAGAAGAAATAAAAAGAAAAGATAACCCTTGGAGCAGCTTCGCAAACACTGCTCATTGTTCTTTGGAATGCCTTCTGCTGGGTTCATTCTTCACTGCTCAGTCCTTTCTGGGGCTTATGGGACACAGTGATTTATAAAGATAAGCTTTAGTGGGACAATTGGGATAAAGTGTGCATCGAACTCCTGTGAGGACAGAAGGAATGGCCACTGAGGCCAGCACTGCACCTTTTCTGAGGGTTATCACCATTTTTTTCCCCTATAGAAACTGTGAAGTTATGTGATAGTTATCCCATAGGCTAAACAATACATTTGAGCCATTCCACTCAAAACTCTTGAAATCTGCTAATACTGATAAAATCTAAAATCAGCCTCTCCATTATGTTCACAAGGCTTTGAGGACTGTCATGGCCTTGCGTGCACACATTTGGAAGTATATGGGAACATCCCTCACTTGGGCAGTTACTGGGTTTGTGACTCTGATGTAGCATTGATAGCGACTCCCTGACAAGCTCCTTACAACCTGCTTCAGATAAGATACACGTGTTTCTGAAATACTGGCTGAAACTTGCAGTTTCTACTGATTTCCAAAGCTGGAGGTCAGGGCTATCTATAGCAGACAAAGTGAACAGGCGGGTCACAACATTCTAAAGCAAGTTCTCCAGAGTCATCATCCCTTTCAAGTTCCCAGGATAAAGGCCTCCAGGGGAAACATCTTAGGGAAAGCTGAGCATCGATCTTCTTTATTAAAACTGCCAATGTCCATTACACACACACTGAGAAATTCTATGTGAAGAAGTTCCTTTCACTTTGATTAACCCAGTAGATAATAAATGTCTAGGATTCTGGAGACTTAACATTTATTGCCTGCTCTGCTAGTGTTTCACGCCACATTAGTTCAGCACTTTAAAGCCAACAACCTCAATGCCTGTGAGTAAAGGAAACATCAGAGTAAAATTGATCTTGACCATCACTTGCAAACCTCGAAAGGTCCTTTGCTTCTAGGGGCCAGTCACTTCCAGCTCAGAGCAGGAGGGATATGTGGCAACTGAAGGGCAGTACCTGGTATAGCAAAATGATAACCACTGAAGTTTATTTTAGGGAAACAAAATTGCCAATTGTTACTCGATTACTTTGCAGAAACTAGAAGTTGCCCCAAGGGGGCAAGACAGAGAGGGGGATAATTTTGAAGATCTATTCCTCTCTTCAGACAGATAAGGGACACAAGACAAAGACAATGAGATGGTTTTACACAAATGTTGTGTTGACCAATTGTATGTCCATCCTATCCAGCAATCACCCCGGGATCAATCGATCCCTCCCTCCCTCTCCACTCATCCCCCTGCTCTGTTCTGCTCTCTAGCTTCTCCCTAGGAGTACATTTTAGTAACAATGGCCTGCAAGGGGCTAAGAGGAAGTCCAGATTGTGTTTTTTTGTGGTCAAACTGTTCCAAATAGCTGCTCAAATAAGTGTGAACTACCAGAATGACTGGGCCACTATTGGTCATGGTACCACCGATGAAATACTCAAAATACCTATCTTGTCACGTCATTTTTAAAAATTAAGAATTATGTATGTAAAGAGCTTAACACAATATCTGGGAAAATAAACATTAAAACAACAGCTAAAGTCATGGATTCTGAGATGGTAAACAGCTTAGCTTGATGCCTGAATTTAATTGGGATGAGGTGCTGGTTCAAGACAGGCATTCTTTGTGACATCAGAGGAAACTTGTTCCTGTGTCTACTTTTCACAGTTTAGTTAAGGATAGAAATTCTGTTCTATCCAGTGTTATCACATAGTAGTCACCAACACACAGTACTAGATATTAAATAAACCAATGGAAGATATAATCCTCAGGCTAGCATTCGTGTTCAATGTTGATTTTTAGGGGCCATCTTTAATTGAATCTAACAAAATAGAAGGCAAGTCTCTCTTTTCTGCTTTGTACATCCAAGTGTCCTGCTGGTATCTCCACCAGAAAGGTAACTGCCTGCTTCTTAAACTGCCAGTTGTTTCCTTTAATTGATGTGTGAGCAGGCAAAGATACCAGGATTCTTCAGGAAGATTGTCTGAGCCATAGCCTGGTACCAAATACAGCTAAGATACCCAAACATCAAGAGTCACCCTATGGAACAATCTGAATTTCATTCTAAAGTAAGGGAAAAGGAGCACTGGTGATCACATTGTTTGGGAAGAAATCACCCCTCAGAGCCAGTAAGACAGTACAGCCACTGCTACACTCTGCATCTGGGGTTCATGAAGACTGCCTTTCTGGAAGACATTGCAGCAGCATAAATGGAGATATTAAAGTAATGGTGACCCACACAAAAGTCTTAGGACTGAGAAGATGTGTGGTGGTGGTGGTGGTGTGTGTATGTGTGTGTGTTACAGAACGAAGACAGTCAAGCAAAAGTACACATGAATGTTGATCTGGTTACTTCTGTGGTTATACCTGTGGTTCAGGTGGGTTTTAATATCTTCTTAAAGTTCTTATTCATTGTTTATATAATGGTGGTGGTGGTGGTGTGTGTGTGTGTGTATGTATGTGTGTATGTATGTGTGTATGGTATGTAAATGTGTTTGTACATGTATGCATATATGTGTAGAAGCCAGAGTTTGACATGGTTGGGAGTCTTCTTCAATTGTTTGCAACTTTAATTGTTGAAACAATTTCTCACTGCACATGGAGCTCACTGACTCAGGTAAGCAACTGGTGGTGAGACCAAGTGATCCTCCAGTCTTTGTCTTCCTAGTGCTTCCTATCACTGTGCCTGGATTTTTACATGGGTAGTTCTGGGGATCTGAACTCAGGCTCTCATGCTTGTATAGTAAGTGCTTTACCAACTGAGCCATTCTCCCAACCTCACCATGTGCTATTTTAATACTAGTTTAATGGTGTGTTAATTGAATGTCACAAACAATAACATATTTTAAAACTGTTTCATGAGGAACACACAACAAAGACTGTATCGTCAATGAGCTTGAACAATGTGTGCATGAGACAGAGGCAGAGGAAGGCCGCTTTTTCCAACAGTCATGTCCAGTGATGAACAATGACAGACTCTTGCTCAAGGTTTACATTGGATATTGTCTTCCTGGAATCCTGCCACCTTCCTGTTGTGAACTTGACTTCCATCCACCCATGAAGTAGCAACAAAGGGATCCCTTGTTGCAGATGGGAGAATTCAGCAGGGAGAGGTGGGTGCCGGGCCACAGAGCTAGTGAATGGTAGAGCCTGCTTAGGTTTTAGCCATTCAGTATAGGGCTGTCGTCCTCAGGGTGCCCAAGCAGAAGTGGGGTACTGTGACAGCACCACCCTTGCTACTCCAAAAGTTGAACTGATGCTGAG